GACTTTATCCATAGATGCTAAACAATCAGGGCCCTGTATTTGGTTTCTGTGGTTGGTGAGTCCCTATAGAAGTCATTCACAATGCAGTTCACAAGCTTTTTTTTTTTAATGCTTTTATTGTACCTAGTTTAAAAAATGTTTTTATTGAAATATAGTTGATTTACAATGTTGTGTTAGTTTCAGGTGTATAGTAAAGTGATTCAGTGATTTTATATATATATATATATATATAATCTATTCTTTTTTTAGATTCTTTTCCATTATAGGTTATTATAAGATATTGAGTATAGTTCCCTGTGCTGTACAGTAGGTCCTTGTTAGTTATCTATTTTATATATAGTTAGTTATCTATTTTATATATAGTTGTGTGTGTATGTTAATCTATTTTATATATAGTTGTGTATGTATGTTAATCCCAAACTCCTAATTTCTCCCTCTCCGCCCCACCACCCTTTGGTAATTATAAGTTTCTATGTCTGAGTCTAGTTCTTTTTTGTAAATAAGTTCATTTGTATTATTTTTTTTTTTTAGATTTCTTGTATAAGTGATATCATATGATGTCTGTCTTTCTCTGACAGTATGATAATCTCTGGGTCCATCCATGTTGCTGCAAATGGCGTTATTTCATTCTTTTTTATGGCTGAGTAATATTCCATTGTGTATAGATATACCACATCTTCTTTTTTATTTATTTATTTATTTTTGGCTGTGTTGGGTCTTCATTTCTGTGCGAGGGCTTTCTCTAGTTGTGGCAGGCGGGGGCCACTCTTCATCACGGTGTGCGGGCTTCTCACTGTCGCGGCCTCTCTTGTTGTGGAGCACAGGCTCCAGACGCACAGGCTCAGTAGTTGTGGCTCATGGGCCTAGTTGCTCCGCGGCATGTGGGATCTTCCCAGACCAGGGCTCGAACCCGTGTCCCCTGCATTAGCAGGCAGATTCTCAACCACTGCGCCACCAGGGAAGCCCATATACCACATCTTCTTTATCCATTCATCTGCTGATGGACATTTAGGTTGCTTCTATGTCTTGGCTATTGTAAATAGTGCCACAGGCTTTGGGGCCAGATTGAGTTGCATGCTGGCAGTCAGGAGTTACTGGCTGGATCACAGAAGGCAGGGGGTGGGAAGGGATTCTGGGAACATGGTGCTCAGAACATGGCTCTTATCTCCACTACCAACCCCCTCCATGTGCTTCCCCCCAGTCAAGTAGTTGCTGGGGCCTACATGTGGCTGGGTGCGAGTGAGGGCCATGTGGTCTTATGAGGGTCCCAGTGCAGAAAACTGGTGTGAGGCCTTGTCTCCTGAGGGCTGGACAAGCTTGAGGCTGGTAGGGCTTGGCCTGAAGAGATTCTGCCCCCTCTGTCCCCAGCCACAGGGGAAGTTCTACATATAAAAATGAAAGTGGCTTCTAACTCAAAGGCTTTCTCCCATACTAATGGCATTAATGGAGATTCAGTTTTCCCTCAGGAAGAAAGGTTTTTTTTGTGATTTGTGACCAAAGTAGGAAAAGGTATCTCAGGTAGTCGGCTCTCTCAAAAGACTTTTTTTGTTTGTTTTTTTCAAGCACAGCTTTCATTGGGAAACATATGTTGTTCATTGTTACAGATAAAAGTTAAGACTCTTTGTAACCTAAGCTTACCTCTTGGAGGCTTCCTATACACCGCAGCTAGGGTACTGAAATGTTTGGTATACACTAACACAGCTTGCTGGGGGAAGCTGTCGTTCATTCTAACTCTGCTGAGATGTGCTCCACCAAGGCCTCCTTAGATGTGCCTACATTCCATGGAGTGGGTAGTCCGGGAGGTTTGAGGGACTTGGATTTGGGTCCTCATTCTGATCCTAAGTAACTGTGCGATTTAGGGAATTGCAAATTATTTCTGTTCATTTACAAAACAGACACAGGTAAGAAAGAGGCCTTCTATACCCTAGACAATTCATTTCCCTAGAAACAACTGAGGGAGTTATTCTCAAACATGAATTCAAATCAGAACAGGGAAAACTGATAAAGTCATGGTGATGTGCTCAATACTGAAGTTCTAATGGGGCTAGAAGGAAATTTGCTGAGGGTTTGCAAATGTAAATTTTCATGTAATGCAATGCTACCAAATATTGTTATAATGCTTTTTTCTCCTCCTCCTCCTTTTTCTTTTAAATTTCTGAACTGAGGGGAGATTTCATTACACTGACTGTTCAATAAAATTATCAAAAGATAAGATAGTGTCTCCTACCTTTTGTTCAGGAGATGGTTTTGTGGAGAGCCTTTTTCTAAAACAATGACAAAGCATTAAACAAGTGCAGATTTTTTTTTAAACCTCAGAATTTTCTTTTTAATTTCAAGGGGTATTTTTGCCTTTACGTAAGCTTAACTTCAAGAAACTCAAAACTGAACTCCAACAAGCATAATTAAACCACATTATTTGATTGCAAATGAAAAACATACAGAAACATTAGTTTAAAAGTTGTAAACTTTCTAAAATGAACAGTATTTATAAACATTTGAAAAATAGAAAATTTCATGATCATAGTTTTTTGAAACATTTGAAAATATTTCATATATATTCATATAAAGTACTTTTCCACAAAGTTTTGTTGGAATGTGAAGATCGCATTTAGTTTGGTTTTATTAGGAAAAATAAAATATTTTTGTCAGAATCATTTTGCATTGTTGAGATAGTATACTAATGGAATTCATTTTCACTCGGATTATTAAAAATGAACTAAGGTAACACAAATTGAAAAAAGAAAAAGAATATATGAAAACTAGCAACTAATGGTCCTTACCTATATAGTACTGAGACTATGAGAATTAAAATGTTGATTCAAAGAGAACTAAATTGTATTAAATGCCTCAATATCAGGCATGATGCGGGTGCTTTCCACATATATGTATTTGATTTCGTACTCTTAAAACAAAAATGTTAATTTAATTGCATGTTGCCAAATCGAGGGTTTTATGAACATTCTGAACTAGAAATAAAATCATTAACCACTGACCTAAGAATAAAATTGTAAGTTGAAAAATAAAATGAAACTATTATGTTTATAGAATTAGGAAAAGCTTTCCATTTGGCTGTGTGAGGACAGCTTTGTGATCCTTAATGACATGTGTACAGATATTCACATAATAAATCTTAAGGTATCTATGTGAGATAAAGTATACATATTAAAATATATACATATGAGACTACCAGTTAAGACTAACACAGTCTCGATACAGGGATCCAGCATTTTATTCCTCCTTAGACAACATCTTCCTATTTGGGAAAAAGTACTCTGGGTTTCGGATTTGCAACATTTTAGTTTTTCAATGCATATGCCCACCAGAGATTTTTAGAGTTTTTCAAATGTTTCATTGTTTCTCAGCAGATTTCAGCTCATTAGCTCTTTCTCAGACTTTCTCCTGGGTGTATGTGTCAACACCAGTTCATTTTCCAACCCAGTGTACACGTGGGTTCTTGTGTTACAAGAACCTTTAACCTGGGCGCAGTATACCAAGGGCAAAGCTTTGTCAACAGGTGACGTTGAAGAAATATCTGACACTAAGATACAGTCGAGTGGAGGACTACCCCAACCTCAGGTTGGGTGCTATTAATTTCCTCACCAAGAAGGTGTCCTGGAGAAATCAACAGAGTTTTCAACAGAAAAAGAGAAACTTAAAAGAATTTCTACAACTTTCAGACACTACTTTTTGAGAGAACACTTTTTGTACAAACTTGTGTTCATAGCTTATATATCTGATATACAATTAAGGTGAAACAGCAGTCAACACAGTAAACATGTATTTGACCTAAGGTATCAACCCGTGAATCTTCCACAGATTACCAATTTTCAAAAGTTTAGAATGCACTGAATTGCACTCAACACTAAACTATGCTGAAGAGACTATGCCAGCACTTTAGGGCTTTGCAGTCATCTCAGGTCATCACCGTGAAAATCAATCCCAGTTCAACCGAACTGGGGAAATGCTAAAGTCACTTTAATAGAATTCTGAAGAAAAGAATCTACTATTATTACCCAGAATAGACTTGAGGTAGATTACAAACAAACAAAACTAATAACATTTGACATTAGAAGAGAATAATCCAGTCAACCTGAAGAGTTTTTGTTTGTTTTTAATGTCATAATTTTTTGGTTAGGATTTTTTTTGAGAGAAATAAGTTAGTCTAGAAATAAGATAGCTAATTTCTTTTCCATTAAATCAATGAGAAAAGATTAATGGATTAATCTATCCATAAACGGTAGAGACCACCAAAAATGTTACTCCTGCCATGCACCTGGAGTGAGATAGGAAAATTTTATGTAGGCTTTAATAGGAAAAGGTATTTTCCTGTAGTATTCCCTGAGTTTTCTAAGAAGTTAACTCGCCTTCCTATTCTCCTCAAACTCCTCAATAAGTTACAATTTATAAGCCCTTCATGGGCATGTGTGTGTTACACACTCTAGCCCACCAAGCAGCAGATTTCCAACATGTCTATTTTTTTCTTTAACACTCTACCCGTTAGCTACCTAGTTTAGAAAGAAGGAAGTTGTAGAAGGTGGGAGGCATCAGTGATCTCGCTTCTCAGTTTTAATAATATGAAACTATGACTCATTAGAGAATGGTGACTGATATTCTGCTTATCAGCACACAGTTGTGTTTACCTGTGAATTACTGAGAGACTAAGAATAGCGGCCAAAGAAATGAAGAGCCACCAGGCAGAACCAAACATATTGTGACCAGAAGAAAGAGATTATTATTCTGAGAGTTATCTAACTCTTTGACTTCGTTCATGCTTAGGGGATATTTCAAGTTTGCAGAAATGAAAAACAGCAGAAGCCTTCTGGAGGAGGATCAAAACTTTGATTTTCAAATTTTTTTTTTTTTTTTTTTTTTTTTTTTTGCGGTACGCGGGACTCTCACTGTTGCAGCTTCTTCCGTTGCGGCTCCGGACGCGCAGGCTCAGCGGCCATGGCTCACGGGCCCAGCCGCTCCGCGGCATGTGGGATCTTCCCGGACCGGGACACGAACCGTGTCCCCTGCATTGGCAGGCGGACTCTCAACCACTGCGCCACCAGGGAAGCCCTGATTTTCAAATTTGATGGCCAAAAATAAAGGCATTTTTATTTGGCCTCATGTCTAAATTATTAGTTAGAACTTTAAAAATGCCAGCTTTCCTAATAGTTGTTCCAAGAATCAGGTATTCCTTCTCCTCTCCAAGTGTCTCTTAGCGGTTAAAGTTCAGGGTTTCTAGGGACTTTGATCATCAGTCCTGCTAAACAAGGTAATGTCATCGTCAAATCCTGGGGCTGAACATTCTACATTCTCTAGTAAGACGTATTTGTCTTCATTGCCATTCAGAGAGAGGACTTCTTTCTGAGTAGTGGATGTCAGATCACTCCAGGTAATGTCAGTGTTTTTAAAAGCATGCAGAAGGAAGATGCCATTGATAATGGTGAAGAACCCACTCAAAGTCCCGATGATATCTCCAGCATTCATGCCATACCATTCTTGGAATAAGATGGCGGAGCAAGTTACTACCATGGAAGTGAAGAACACATAATAAATGGGAGTCACAAGAGATGTGTTAAAGGTGTCCAGTGCCTTGTTGAGATAGTTAATCTGTGTTGTCACTGAAAGCACGAGTACAGCCAGCAAAACAAAGACCAGGGGATGCTTATAAATGGGCTTCCATTCCAGTAGTTCCTTAATGGCAATTCCCAGGCCCTTGACAGAAGAAACTGAAAATGCTCCAATCAATGAACAGATTGAAATGTAGACCAATATATTGGTCTGTCCTTTCTTGGGAGCTACAATCAAAATCAGCACCAAGGAGATCACAGTTATGATCACAGCAAAGGAGATAAATCCTGTTAGGAGGAGAAAAGAATTAGACTTCAGAAAATGCTAATAGGATCAAATGTTTTTGAAATCTTGTTAGTCATGAGTTTAGGAGCCTAGGTGTTTTAGAAAGAGACATGAGACTAAATTAAAAAACAGGAACAACAACATTTTACTGCATGGCTCAGTATTTCACAATGGACTTTCACAGACATATCATTTGAACCTCACAGACAACACTATGAGGTACAGCAGGTATTGTCTGATTGACTTTTTATTTTCAGAGGGAGAAAGATGTGAAAGTTTGGGTTGGAGTATAAGTCTTTTCCCTTTTCTATCCCCATCTCTTCCTTTCATTTTGTGGAGGGGAAGCATGGACACAAAAATAAGTTGTGCCACATTTTCAGAAGACTTGTATCACTCGGTCAAACTGTACTGTATCTCAACCCACAACTAGGCTTCTGGGAAGCCTATTACAATATTATTACCAATTCATTTGATGAGAAGAGAAAGTGGAGCAGAATTTGAGTAAGTGTTTCTTTTGGTTGAATCACAGACCTGGGTCTCTCAATTTCATTTCCATTTCATGCAGAGAAGCAACTTCCTCTTCTTGTGGGGCATGGATAACCATCACAGTTGACCCCAATATACTTAATGTGCAGCCTATTTTTCCATGAATGTTCAAGTGCTCATTTAAAAAATAGGAAGACAACAGTGCACTGTTGGAAGAAGAAAAAAAAAAATCACTCTTGTTCAGTTACCTTTGGATTCCATGGCAGCTCAGACGTCGCACTGCAGTGCGCACCAATCTGTATCCCAATCAACTGATTGGAATATGCTACGTGACACTGAAAACCCTGGTTGGCTGGCTTCCTTCCTTCCTTCCTTCCCTCCCTCCCTCCCTCCCTCCCTCCCTTCCTTCCTTCCTTTCTGTGTGTGAAGTTCGCTATATATTACTAAATTTGTATCTAGAAAAATACAAGTAATCAAGTCTGCTTAATTGCTTTTATAGTTAAAAAGTTATAACAGGCATTCTATACACCTGTAATCTTCCCATGACCTTCTAAGAGGTCCCACTCAATTCATTTTGAATTTCCCCATTTTCTCCTGTAAAGCCAAACAAAATGGAAGAACTTTTACATCTTACTGTCATGACACATTTAGAACATGTGTGCTCATGAAAGCTTCAAAGAACGATATATACCTAAAGAAGAATTACTCTGCTCAGGGCCAATAGTTACCTGGTACACACAAGTACAACCGTATGGGTTGTCAAAATATTAAAATATTTCCTGACCGGCTGCTATTGCTCTGATACTTTCACCTATTCACTGCTCCCACTACCTTGTTGCCATGGCCTCAGGAAGTTCTAGGTTGGCACCACCATGGACACAGATGCCATCCTGCGGCTCAACCAGTAGGTCCACTGTGGCCCCTTCTCCTGATGCCCTGGCACTCCCACCAGGGCATTATCAGTATCCATTTGCACCCAAGACTATGGTCAATTACCAGGTGCTTTCTGCGAGTCACTCTCACGTGGCCACTGATGAGGACGGCAGCCTCAGCAAAAAGTGCTACTACCGATATCTACCATTCACTAGTAGCCAGTGTTCTAGTGCTTTCTGTATGGACTCACTCACTTCTCACAACAATCCTACAAAGACGGTGAAAAGAAGTGGGTAGCCTTAGTCATAAGCTTTCTTCTAGAGGTTGGTAATGAATGGAGATAAAAGGAAAAGAAAAAGACAACAAACAAAACAGTTGCTTAGTTACAAAATAAAAGAGTTCATGGAACACATTCATTTGGAATCATAATAAAGACCAACTCAGAAATGTTAGATCCACTTTTTATTGACAGGAATATGATTCCTGTTTCCAGTACTAAAAGAAACTAAGATATCTCCAAACACAAGTATCCAGCAGACAATGCAAGAGTTTTAGTGAAAGTTGAAATTTAACCCGAACACCATGCTTTGTAAAGTCCTCTGACAACTACGGTCATTAGCCACTATGACAACAGAAAGCATTAAAAGGGCTGCAGCAATTTGTTCAGGTGAGAGGGAAAAAAAATCTGCTTGGCTCCACTGAATCGTCACAAAGAAAACGCACAATTACTCTGTGTTTTGCGGGAAGACCATCTATTTCCTATTTCTCCTGCTCTTTATCGTATAGTTTTCTCACATTAGTTTTGTGATTTTCAAAATTCTGTTTTGAGGTATGCTTCGTCATCTGTTTCTTGTGGGTTAAGTTTATCATGGTATTAAAATCCCTCCGAAGCCAAGTTCCTTATTGCTTACGTACCTTATGAGAACACTCAGTGCGCCCAGTGGGGTGACCAAGGTGGCAGGTGCAAAAGCATAAGCTGCAAAATTCGCAGCCTCGCCTGCTCCCACTGGAAAGCAAGCAGCAGCATTAATATAGAAGACAGGCTTATTGCTCCTATGAGAAAAACAACTGATACATGCAAAGCAGTCGTCTTTTATCCCACAGACACTCATGTATCTAATGAAAAGGAATAATTTAACTTCTTTTAGGGAAGGTGGGGAAGGTTTGGTATTAAAAGGATAAACTGTAATTACCTGGTGATACAAACTCAATTAATGCAAAAAGTGGCGACAGAGGAATATCTGTTTTCAACGACCTTCAATAAAGTTTTTAGTTACTTTAGAACCAGAAACATATTTGGTCACTCAGATGAAATCTAGAAGAGGTAGCTTTGGAGTAAGTAAGAATGATTGTTTGCTCAAGAATACCTACTGCTGTGCAAATTAACAGTAAAGCAGCTTGTAAAATTAGAACGCTTTCTAGAGATGTACAGTCTAGGCAGGGGACAGGCAGAGATGCCTACCACGGGCCTGTGTAGTCAGGCACCTCTGGATTGCAGACGATCTACAAGTAAGTGACAGTATCTCAGTAGCTCAAGGATATCCAAGCAGCTCTTTGAAAGTCCTAACAACATGCTCCTGGAATCCTTATCTGAGGAACTCCAGGCTTCCGTAAGATAGTGTGATGCAATTAACTTCTAGAGTGAGGGAAAATCTTTCTAAGAGTTGGGCCCTTGAATTGGGGCCAAATTATTCTCATGGGTCACAACTGAATGCTTGCCCACAGAATGTAGTATGTCACGCTGTCAACTGTGCCAAGCAGACACACTGTAGAGAGAGCTCCTGGAACAGATAAAAGACACCAGCACCCATTTTCTTTTTCCCTCTGGCTGCTATCCACTCCACCCCCCAAGCCCGACCCCAGCCCCTGCCAAATCTACAGGAGTAATCAGCTTTAAAATATCATAAAACAAATAGAAACGTACAGAACGGTAGGAGACTGCTCTCTTCAGAGCAACAGTGGTAGTTTTCTCAGAATAGTAAGTAATGAAATGAAATTAATACTTTATGGCAAGATGAGAAAAATGTAAACATAATTTTCTTTTTTGGCCCATCTGGGCCTCCTCCCTCCCCTTTAGTGTGTGTTGTGCGTCTGCATTAACCAGACCTCCTTAGGAGATGACCTTCCTTCTTAATCTCATAAGGGCCCACTACTCTCTTTGTAAGTGCAGCTCTGGATTGCGTAAACTGTCCATTAGATGGCATTTAATGCCCCCTGTCTCAAGAACTTATAACTGTGCTTTGATCTCTAACAGGCGGAGCAGTTCTGTTTCTGAGAGGCTGTTCCCAGCTTATAATCCTCAGTTCGGTGTGAATAAAACTTTCCATTTTTTTCTTAGATCGACTGATTAATTTTTTTCATCGACATGTTTTCTTGAATACTTCATTATTTATATTTTTATCATTACAGACAGCCTTCCAGGAAAATACTGATTTCATAATTAAAGTACTGTACGTTTGGCACTAGATAAAATCTCTGATGTTGAAGACTTGGTGCTTTTCACTCTTCAATACTGGCAGAAACTTTGTGCATGGTGAGACTAAAATTACAAACATAGCCATATAATATTCTCCTTCTACTTTCATTCTATTGTGTGGGTAGAGGGTGGAGAGATATGACAGACAGAGAGAGAGAGAGAAAAGGAGAAAGAATGATCCAAATATTTATTTGGAATCTTCCCAGCACAGTCCCTGACAACATTTACTCAAATGAAGTAAGAAAACAGATGTGAAAACACCTTAAAAGCTGAAAAAGCTATACAAATTTAAATTATTTTTATTCACCATCCTGTAAGCAGATAGGGTATGGGATCCCCGGAGAAAAGAACCAGATATAGCTTTTTGACATAAGAGAAGCCATTTTTAGGACTAAACCTTTTTTTGATCTAAGCCTGGCCACAATGCTTGCCCTCGAACAGGTCTCAGTAATTAATGATCTTAAGGGAACAAAAGAACAAACTCTTATCAGGCGAGAGAAGTAACAGCAGCAAAGATGATAAATCAGTTGTAAAGACTCCCAGTTCTGTTTCAATGGTAAAGATTAGCCTGAAGTACTTCCTTGAGCTATTTTGCAGAATTTAAGTCCTCTCAACCACCAGATCAACTTGAACCCAAGGGACGATGATGTTGACCTTTTCTTTTTCTTTTTTTCTTAATTGAACCGTGGTGCTTCCCCAGCATATATAACACTTATTTTTTAGAAGTTGTTTTTTTTTAAGGTATTATAATTATTATTTTTAAATTTTTTAAAATTTATTTTTGGCCGTGTGGGGTCTTCGTTGCTGTGTGCGGGCTTTCTCTCATTGCAGCGAGCGGGTGCTACTCTTCGTTGCAGTGCACGGGCTTCTTGGTGGCGTCTCTTGTTGCGGAGCATGGGCTCTAGGTGCGCAGGCTTCAGTAGTTGCAGCATGTGGGCTCAGTAGTTGCGGCACACGGGCCCTAGAGCCCACGGGCTTCAGTAGATGCAGCGTGTGGGCTCAGTAGTTGCGGTGTGCGGGCTCTAGGGTGCGTGGGCTTCAGTAGTTGTGGCTTGAGGGCTCTAGAGTGCAGGTTCAGTAGTTGTGGCGGACGAGCTTAGTTGCTCCGCGGCATGTGGGATCTTCCTGGACCAGGGCTTGAACCCATGTCCCCTGCATTGGCCGGCGGATTCTTAACCACTGCACCACAGGGAAGTCCTGATGTTGACCTTTTCTGACCCTCGTGACTTCCATCAGTTAATGCTTGGATTTTGTCAACCTCTGCCCCAATTCTATGCTGAATTCTCCTCTGCTCAAGCTCCTTCATGAATATGCATGTACTTTTAGCTTAAAACTTTCCTAATTTTGCTGTTTGGGAAGACACTGCTTTGGGAAAGATCCCCAGTGTTCCCCTTACTTGCTGCAAGTAATAAATCCTTCCTTCTCCCAATCTCTGACTTGGTTGTGTCTTTTGACACCCATCAAGAGATGAACCCAGTTTTCAGGTAACAAGCCTTTTAGATACCATCATTTATTAAAGGAAAGTTATCCAATTCTTTCTTGTAACAGGATCTCAAAAATACTGAAATGTCTTACTTAGTACAAGAAAATCAATGGAAGTTTTAAGGCTTTTGGCTGCAGACATGGATGGAAGTAGTGTGAAACTACAATTTATGAGGTCCTTTCCCTGGAAGTTTCAGGCTAGGAATTTGAGAAAGTTCAGAGGAGTTAGGAGGGAGATATAAATCTGCAAAAGTGCCTGCGGGCGATACACTGCCTTCTTACTGGACATCACATTAGCGTTTAGAAAGTGCTTTCACCTCATACAGAGTCTCATTTAATCCTCAGGGCAAGTCTAGGAGGAAGGAGAGTGCTCGCAACCTTCATCTTCTCTCCATTTGTTCAGAGCTAAGCAGTCCAAGGGGACTTTCATTTATCCATATTTTGGTCCTGGCCAGGAAAGTGTACCTACTCTATGCAGCGAGAACAGTCGCATATTGAATTAGGAGCTGGGAAAATGTGGGAGGGAAGCATTTTCCTCAATTGTTATGGGGAATAAAATACAAGAGAAGGAGAAGTTTGTGATAAAATATAAGATTCCAGACAATAACTTTTTTACTTGCATTCCAAAACAGTATTGAGAATGTGCAGGTGGGGGGAAGAAAGAGCAAAACTTAATTCTAAATACATGTGATTTATTTTATATGTAAGACATTATGCCCACACAAAAATTTCTAGACTTAAATGCCATCCTTAACACTTAGCTAAATTCATCAATTTGAACAATTGCATGTACTTTATCATTTTACAAGCAAACACTATTCTCGGCATTAAGGACTTACTTGAGAGTAATCCTGCCCACCAGAGCCATTCCTTGAGGTAAGAATATCCACCTTGTCCTAGGAAAATGATACAAAGAGAAATTAAGTTCTAAAGTGGAGGAAGAGGGTTTGAGGAATTAACTTCTACAAAAGGTACCGGAGTATGGTTGGAAAACACAAGGCTTAAGGCGTAGTCAGTATATCTCACCTTTAGCTTATTTACTCGGTCATTTCCAGTAAATCTTCCATTTAGAAATCTTCCAAATCTTTTTTTATATTGTCTTTGATTTCTACACAAAGTCAGTTTTTTCATTTGCAGGAAAATTTTATTTAGTCATCAGGTTTACTACTGTCTACTGAAAAGAAATGCACAACCTGAAAGTTGAGAATTATGCTTTATTCGGTGGACTTGCTGAGGACTTCAGCCCAGGAGGCAGCCTCTCAGACAGCTCTGAGCAACTGCCCTGAATAAGTAAGGGAGGAGTCAGGATATACAGGAGTTTTTGCAAAAACAACAAACAAACAAAACAGGTAGTTGGAACATCAAAAGATTACCATTAATTCAAGAAAATGAATTTAGCACTTTTCTGTGTATGGGAAGATGCAAGAGTCTGGGCTCACTGAAATCATTCCTTTGATATGCACTTTAACTATCTAGGGCCAGTATCCTGTTTTCTCCATCCTGAACGCCCTCAGGATGCACTGTCTGCTGGTGGCTGCAGTGGCTAATGGCCTGATGTTGGCAACACCCTTTGTTTACTGATATGGCAGGTTATATTTTTCGTCCACACTATATTTATGCCATTCAGATATGGACATAGAGTATTATAAGCCCTAAATACTTTGTTTCAGCCACAGTTAAAAAATTAAAGACAGAAAACCATAAATCATAAATTAGGTTGGTACCTAAGGAGGACCTCAAAGGGATGAAGATGGTTGACATAAGAGCTTTTGAGATTTTGGATAGTCAATGAGAGAATAGCCAGCATTGGCCAGCTGGATTCTACTTATTCTCTACCTTGGCACCATGAAATTGAATTTGTCTAGTCTACTGAAAAGGACAAAAACCTTTCCTAAGATATTCAGAGAGTTATCTTCCCACTCTGTAATTTGTGAGCTTAAGTCATTGTTATGATTGTTTTAGAAATTGCAATTTTCTCACCAATTTTAATATACTTAACGCTGTGAACTTGACCTATCTGATTTTGTTATAGTTAAGCTAAAAAGGATATGTTAGCTGTGAGGATTATGTTGCAAAGCAGTTAACCATGTTTATTTATGACTTTCTCCTTACAAAATTTGCAAATAACCAAATTGGAAAATTAAAATATGATTTCATATGCTGTTTTTAAAAAACTTAATATCACAAATACTTTCTCAGCCCTTAATGATTGAATAGTCTAAAATCTGGTCTATTATATATTATTATTATTAATTTAACCTGTATGAGACCATATATATATATATATATATATATGTATGTATATATAATATATATGTGTTTGTTTTCTGTGTCTGAGTCTGTTTCTCTTTTGTATATATATTCATTTGTATTATTTTATAGATTCCACATCTAAGTGATTTCATATATTTGTCTGACTTACTTCACTTAGTATAATATTCTCTAGGTTCATCCATGTTGCTGTAAATGTTAAGATTTCATTTACTTTTATGGCTGAGTAATATTCCATTGTATTTATATACCCCATCTTTTTAATCCAGTCATCTGTTGATGGGCACCTGGGTTGTTTCCATGTCTTGGCTATTGTCAATAGCGCTGCTTTGAACATTGGGGTGCATGTATCTTTTCAAATTAGAGTTTTCGTCTTTTTTGAAAATATGCCCAGGAGTGGGATTGCTGGATCATATAGTAGCTCTATTTTTATTTAAGGAAACTCTATACTGTTTTCCACAGTGGCTGTACCAATTTACATTCCCACCAGCAGTGGAGGAGGGTTCCCTTTTCTCCGCACCCTCTCCAGCATTTCTTATTTGTAGACTTTTTTGATGATAGCCATTCTGACCAGTGTGAGATGATACCTCATTGTAGTTTTGCTTTGCATTTCTCTAATAATTAGCAATGCTGAGCATCTTTTCATGTGCCTATTGGCCATCTGTATGTCTTCTTTTAAGAAATGTCTATTTAGATCTTCTGTCCATTTTTTTTTTTTTTTTTTTTTTTTTTTTTTTTTTTTGCGGTATGCGGGCCTCTCACCGTTGCGGCCTCTCCCGTTGCGGAGCACAGGCTCCGGACGCGCAGGCTCAGCGGCCATGGCTCACGGGTCCAGCCGCTCATGTGGGATCCTCCCGGACCGGGGCACGAACCCGTGTCCCCTGCATCGGCAGGCGGACTCTCAACCACTGCGCCACCAGGGAAGCCCTGTCCATTTTTTGATTGGGTTGTTTTTTTGATATTGAGTTGTACTAGCTATTTGTATATTTTGGATATTAACCCCTCATTGGTTACATTGTTTGCAAATATTTTCTCCCATTACATAGGTTGTCTTTTTAGTTTTTTGGTGGTTTCCTTTGCTGTGCAAAAGCTTTCAGTTTGATTAGGTCCTGTTTGTTTATTTTTGCTTTTATTTCTTTTGCTTTGGGAGACTGATATAAAAATATTGCCACGATTTATGTCCAAGCATGTTTTGTCTATGTTCTCTTCTAGGAGTTTTATGGTGTCACATCTTATATTTAGCTCTTTCAACCATTTTGAGTTTATTTTTGTATATGGTGTGAGGAAATAGTCTAATTTCATTGATTTATGTGTAGCTGTCCAGCTTTCCCAGCGCCACTTGTTGAAGACACTGTCTTTTCTCCATTGTATATTCTTGCTTCTTCTGTTGTAGATTAATTGACCGTAGGTGTGTGGGTTTACTTCTGGACTCTCTATTCTGTTCCACTGATCTATATGTCTGTTTTTGTGCCAATACAACACTGTTTTGATTATAGTACTGTAGCTTCGTTCGCTTCTTAAGACAAATTCCTAGAGGTAGAATTATTAGATTTTAAGATATTAACATTTTTAAGCTTTCCCAAATTGCTCTCAGGAAAGTTTGTACCCATTTATATTGCTTCCACCAATGTTTGAGAGGGCTATCTGTTTCCCAAATTCCCTTACCAACATAGGGCATTATTTTTTAAAGAAAAACCAAATATTGTTAAAATAGTAGGTAAAACCCAGGAGTTCAATGTTATATAGTTGGTATATCTTTGGGTATTAGTGAAGTAACATTTACTTAGGTATGTTTATTGGCCACTTACAATTCTTATTCTGTGAGTTCCTTGTTTATGTGTTTTGCCTTTTTTCTGTTATGTACCTATCTTTTTCTTATCGACTATAATCACTCTTTGTATATTGTGACTTAACTACCCTTTGTCATATAGTTTGAAAATTTTCTCCACATGTCATTTCCTTTTTAGTTTCAGTTAAAGGTGTTTTCATGTAGGATTTTTTTTTTTGTGGGGGGTCAATCCAGATAATCTCTTCCTTTATATAGAATTGTTTCTTCCTTTATCTTTATGCTTAGGAAGACTTTCTTTTAGGTTTTTTTTAAAAAAAATATTTCATTTTAAATTTAACTCTAAACTATGAGGAATCTATTTTACCAAATGGTATAAAGTAAAGCTCTCACATTTGTCTCCTCTAGTTTTTGCCAGTTGTCTCAGTACTTTTGATTGAATAATTAATCCTTTCTCCAGTGGATTGAAATGCCAGTTTTAAAAATTGTATATTAAATTGCTGTATGTACTTATATAAGTTTTCAATTATCTTTTATTATTTTGTCTATCTTTGTTAATGCCAAACTGTTTTATCTATGTCCCCTCAATAGTACTCTTTTATAAACTTGTTTGCACAATTCATAGCCATTTATTTTCCCCTATGAACCTTAGAACGATATTTAACTCTTTTAGGACATTATTCTTGATAAGAATGAATAGAAAACTCATGGTTAATGAAGGATAGCCAAGCAGAGCTACACAGCTTCTGAAATGTCACTACAAATAGTAACCTAACTCTACTGCAATCCATTTACTGATTTGACAATACTTATTGGGTGCCAACCCCTACGCTAGGGTACGTTCCTGCTCTTGTGAATCTACTGTCAAACAAGTAAGCCTGTTGACAACAAGTAAATAGACAATTAATGTACAATGACAAGTTATTCCAAGTACAACGAAGGAAACCCTTAGTGCACAATGACAAGTTATTCCAAGTACAACGAAGGAAACCCTTAGTGCAGTGATAGAGAATAGCAGGGGTAGAGGTGAGTGAAACCTCCCCAGAGAGGATGGTCGAGGAAGGCCTTTCTGCAGGGGTGATAGTTTAGCTGAAGTCTGAAGGATGAGTCAGCTAAATGACAGTCAGGCAGAAGAGAGCTGCAGACAAAGGAAAAGACCTCGAGGTGGGAGAGAATTCCGTACATTCCAGGAGCCAGAGAAAAGCACACGATCGTGAAGGAGGCTGAAGATGAAGCTAGAGAGGTAGCACAGGCCATTTTAGGCAGCAGGTGAGGTCAGAGACTGTGCAAGGATGTTTGGATTTTACTCTGAGTGCAAAGAAAAGCCACTGATGTGTTTTAATCAGGGGAGTCGCCTGATCTGACTAAATCCTGGAATCTCAGACTAAGGCTATGAAAGAAGAGCTCATCCCACACCCCAACCTCTTGCATTTTAGTCTCACCCTAAAGGAGACACAACTGGCTCAATCCTGGAAACTGCTGAGAACAGTTGCTAAGAACAGGAATAGGGGTGAAGACAGAGACAGTGAAATGTTATTCCTGTAGCACCGTGGTCTTACAGTAGGATGATTTCTGCAATTAGAAACTTGAATTCGTTAGCTGCATCCATTTCTTACCAGCTCTAGTAACGCCCCTGTTGGCCAGTTGTAAGAGGCCCTTTTTTTTCAAGATGAAACTGGAGCCAATAAAAATACTGGAACTTATTGCCAGTACCAGGCCCACATAAAGACTGTATTTGTTCTCTGCATTTGCAGAAATGCTGCAGTTGGTTATGCTGGAATTCAGGTCCCTGTAGAGGACAGGAGAAGCCAGCAGCTGTGACACACGTGTGATCTCACACCAAGCCTGGGAGGCATTCGGACAGATCAGAGACAGCACGTAGCCTGGAAAAGGGAAAGAGGGAAATGTCAACCGACGAAAGGGAGACACACTAATCTTTATTTTCTTTCTCCAAGAAAGAGAAACTTGAGTGGGCGGTACTGACACACTGTTTTTTTACTGCCCGATGGGCGGTCTCCAGCACGTGGTCCACGGGCTCACAGGTTCAGCTGGGCTCACACAGGTTCTTCAAAATGTCTGCAAAGTTGTTGAGCTGTTATCATGCAAATATGCGAGACTTCACGTGAAAGTCTGGATTCCTCTCATAAAATGGAAGATCTAGCAGTACTCGGTTCTCTGCTCCAGCCAGCAGCAGCCTGCTGGAGCAGCCTGGAGCTGTTCAGACCCGGCTTGGGCTCAGCGGTTCATCACAGCCCTACAATGTCCACTTCTCTCCTTCACGCCATCAGTGTGTCTCCAGGAAAGCAGCAGCATATGTGGCGACTGAAGGTGGAAAAGGGCAGAGCAACCCTGTGGGTCTAGAAATCACCATGTTACAGGAAACTGAGCTATCCCACTTGGTGGGGTACGAATTGTTCATTTCAGAAAACATGTTTAAAAGCGGGTTTAGTTTTCTGGACCACTTTCCTAAAAAGAATAATTTTGCAGGTCTACTAACTCACTTCCTCCTTAAAAAAAAAAAAAAGAATCTAATAGACAAATGAATTAAATATCAGGAGGTTTTTTTTTTTTTCCTGAATAGGATTCAAATGAGCATGTAAATCCACTGAACCAGACCCATTATTAAGTGGCTTTCTTTTTTTTTTTTTGAGGCTAAATACTAAAACACAGAATAAAAACATTTTACACTAAGAAACTTTTTATAATCTATTCTCCACTCAAAAAGCTGCAAACAAGGTGACACCGTGACTAGGTTTTCTGACCATCTTCTCAACTTTTTTTGTTCCATTTAAAAGGCATATTTCCCTAGCATGACTTACCTTAAACAAAAATGGGCAAAGAAAAATTAATCAACTACAATTTTAGAATTAAGTGAAAAAAGAAAATCAGTTTTACATCTCAAAAATCTTAAGAGGGCACATGAACAACTAAATGATGTCTTAGAAACAAAACTTTAAAAACAGGATCTATGCCTCCTGGGCAAAGCATTATGAAGTTATGTGAATCTTACCACATACACAGTTGAGAAACGACCGTAAAGTTCAGGGCTAGCAAAAGGTAAAATAATTGAATTCAGTCTTTTCGTGATTACTATTTCATTTATCTCTGTAATTTGAAAATGAACCAACTTTGATCCTGTGATACAGGATAAATTCTGGGACAAAACTTCTAAATATTCCAAAGAGAATTATATTACTTCAGGGATAGTCTATGGTAACTGAGGAATTGTTCAGGCTGGTTGTTTTAGTAAGAATTGCTGCAAATTTTCACATAAGCTAGCATCTAGCAATCCGTCCCAGGCACTGTTCATCTCATCCAACCCCTAAGAGTGCAAAGTAATATTTGGTAGTAAGATTTTGATTACGTGAATTCTTGGGAAAACATCTGACTTGACTGTCCAGTAAACTCCATGGCTGCATTAGTGTCACTTACTATGTAGTTAACATAACCATTCCAAAACTTTATCTCTGGAAACAGTGTGGGTGGACCTCATTCCAATCAAACAATATTCTTTCTGAGCTGTTGACACAGCAAAATGTTTCCAACATTTTAGGGGGTGTGGAGGCAGAAGGTGATAAGGGAGTGCAAATAAGTTTTGTTGCCTTTTATAAGTTCTCATTGTAAGCGGACATTAATGTTGCAAGGTATTTTTTTTAACTTAAAAAGTTTAAAAATTTTTAAAACTTAAAAAAAAATTTTTTTAACTTAAAAATTTTTTTAATTATTTTTTTTTGGCTGCATTGGGTCTTTGTTGCTGCACACAGGCTTTCTCTAGTTGCGGCGAGCGGGGGCTACTCTCAATTGCGGTGCGCGGGCTTCTCACTGCGGTGGCTTCTCTTGTTGTGGAGCACGGATTCTAGGCGCACGGACTTCAGTATTTGTGGTGCTCAGGCTCAGCAGTTGTGGCTCGCAGGCTCTAGAGCTCAGGCCCAGTAGTTGTGGTGCACAGGCTTAGTTGCTCCGCGGCATGTGGGATCTTCCTGGACCAGGGATCGAACCTGTGTCCCCTGCATTGGCAGGCGGATTCTTAACCACTGAACCACCAGGGAAGTCCCAATGCTGCAAGTTTTATGGCAGGAAAAAGTAATAAAAATCTTGTCTAGTTACTGACCTTAGAACTTAAATTGTTTTATGTTTGGGGAGCATATTAAGGAGGGAGCCCACAGCAGGTATGACTGAAGGAGGGAGTGACTGGCGGGTTGGTGGGTGTGGAGTGGTGCTGGGCAGGAGGGGAGAGATGGATGAAGCAGAACGTGTGGGCAGGGACTTTGGAAGGTTTCAGAGGAATTAGAGATATCTCAAAATCAGAGGTGGCTTATGATTCTAGTAAGCAAAGTAATCCTCCAGAGTTTAATCCAAACCTTCTTCAACACAGAAAATTTATTACATTACTCATTTTTCATTTTATTTTATTTTATTATTATTATTGTTTTTGGCCGCATTGCCCGGGCTTGTGGGATCTTAGTTCCCCGACCAGGGATTGAACCCGAGCCCTCGTCACTGAAAGCTCGGAGTCCTAAGCACTAGACCACCAGGGAATTCCCCTTTATTTTTCATTTTAATAGACACTGTCAATAACCCTCTCAAGTGTCTGTACCAATTTACACTCCTGTCAGCAAACAGCATGATGTTGTAACTTCTTTGATGTTATTATATATTGTTCTAAATATTGGATAATTAAGATTTAGGAAATATATGTCAGTTATAAAGAAAAAAATAATTCAATACACACCAATGTATCAACCACCCATTTTAAGAAATAACAACTTGGGAATTCCTTTGCGGTCCAGTGGTTAGGGCTCAGCGCTTTCACGGATGGTGGAACTAAGATTCCGCAAGCCGTGTGGTTTCAACTGTCCTGATTTTCTGTCTAATACTCCTTTTCTTTAAAAAAATGATTTCCCCTATAAGATTATATCTTTAAATAATAAAGTGTTTCGTTTGCCTCTTTTTGCACCTTCTAAAAATGTAATCATATAGTATGTATTCTTTGGTGACTTGCTTGTTTTTGAGATTTATCAATCTTGATGTTCTGGCTGTAAGGTTTGGTTTTTTCCCCACAGTTCTATAGAATTCCACTGCATGACTATCTCACCATTAATTTTTCTATTTTATAGTTGGTGGACATTGGATAATTTACAGTGTTTTTGCTTTTACAAACAGTGCTGCTAATGTTCTCAGTTATGTTAAACCAAATGAAATTGATGATATTTGACAATTTTTGACCCTACATAAATAGCAGTTTCATATGATTCAACTTAATATGTATCTTCTATGTACGGGTGTGAATGTTTCCTTACAGACACACACAACTTAAAAATTTTAAAACAAAGTGAAATTTTCTATAGGATTATATGCCTTTTCCCACCTTTAGCTCCATTACAAATTATCTATAATCTTGAGCAAGTTGAGTCATCACTCTTGGTTTCAGTTTCTTCATCTCTAAAATGAAGGAGTTGGACTTGATGATTCTAAAGACCCCTTCCTTAATTTTGTGGTTTCATCATAAGCTATCTTGGTTCCCAGAGTAAGTTACTTATAATCCTGGTAGCTCATAAATATTGCTGATGGACCAGCTCTAAATTCATAGGCACTTGTAGCTGGAAGACATTTTAAAGAAACTGAGGCCAAGATATTAAGTGACTTGCCAAAGTCATGTAACTGCCCAAACAGGGCCAGGTAACGCAATTCCCAGGCTACTATTCTTTCTGTTTCAGAAAAGTAAACACATAAAGTACAAATAGAGTCAGTTAAAATTTATTATTGTTTATACAAAGATGAAATGCTTTAATTTTTTCAAGTCCTATTTGTCTACAGAGAATAATAATATATATAGTCCAATTATTACATGGAATAGGGTATCGGTATCTTGGTTTCTGAGAAATCAGTGACTATATAAAAGTACATTTTTAATCACTGCAAGATATTTCCAATTTGAGAAAATCATTGTCTCACCATCCATTCTACTGGTTAGTTTGGATCATTATTCAGCAATTAGTCACTTCCTTACCCCTCCCGACGAGGGCAGAGTATTCTTCCCTTGATGTCAGCTGGGAGTGAATTGGTGGCCAATGGGACATCAGCAGAGGTGATACAAGGAGAGGGTTCAAATGTACTTACATGGTTGGGTCTACCAGCTGGTATTATGGTTGGCTTTACTCTCTTGCACCTCTGTACTTTTCAGGAATAGAGCTTCCCTGAGCAGCTGCTGCCCCTTCAGCTTGATCCCAGAATGAAAACATATGGAGCAGACCTAAGCTCATCCCACGTTAAGGAGCCAAACCCAGGTGTGTATGTAGCCTGATGCAGAGACACCCAGGTGTACCCAGTCTAGATTAGTCAACCATCAGCTGGCCTACAGACACATAAGCAAGAATATATGATTGTTGCTTTCAGCCTTTGGGTTTTGGGTTGTGTGTTATACAGCAATAGGTGACTGATACACCTGCCTATTTATATTAGCAAAGGAAAGAATGAATGAAATCTCTCATGTCTCCTACAATTTGTTCTCCAAGTATCAGCCAGTGTGAATCAGATTATATCACTCCCCTGCTTAATTTCCCATGAATTTTCATGGCAGTTATAACAAAGTCTAGATTCCTAATCCTGGACTTAAAAAAAAAAGCTTTACATGCTCTAAAGCTTGCTCACCTCTGACATTACATTGCATTACTCTTTCTCTCTCTCTCATTCTCTGAAAAAACACTGGTTGTCTTTTTCATTCTTTGATTCAATATATATTTATTGAGTATCTATTATCTGTCAGGCATTTTTTAGAAGCTGGGGTTACAACAGTGAGTAAAATAAAATTCCTGCTCTATTACATTCATTCTAATGGGGGGGGAATAAACAAGTGAACTAATAACTACAGAATATGTTGAGTGCCATGGAAAGCACTAAAAGCCGCATGAAGGAGTATTTTTTTTAAAAAACAGCATTGAATGGAAAACCTCTCTGCTAAGCGTAAATGCAAACACCCAGACTTGGGAATTTGCTTGAGGGGGTGGGAGGAACTGCACCAGCCAGGCTGGCTGGTGAGAGAAGGGAGATAGTATGAGATGAGGTCAAAGAGTAGCGGGGACAAGCTCAGGTGAAATGAGCTTTTAGATAAGTAGGTCCAATCTTGTCATTTCTCCTTGCAAAATTCTGTAATGGCTTCCCTTTTCATTCAGAAAAAATCCAAAATCCGCACCACAGTCTACAAGGGCCTCCAGAATCCTGGCCTCCAGCGTCCTCTGCAACCTCATTCCCTAATTTTTTCCCCTCTTCCTTTCATAGGCTAAATTCCTTCTCACCTTAAAGCTTTTAAGTAGCCTTTACTTGTTACGTAGTGCTAGTAGTGGCTGGCATGCCTAACTCCTCTTCACTGAGCTCTCACTTTCTTAGAAAGGCCTTCTCTGCCTTTCCAATCTAAAGGAATTTCTCACTTTCCATCATACAATTTAATACTGCCAACCAAACAGACTTCCTCTTACAGCTTAATTATGGCTTTGTAACAACATCGTATATCCATATATCAATTTTATTTATTCACCCAACAAATCAGCTGTTGAACACCTACCATGCAAGGCACCATGTTAAGTATACATTCATGCAACACTTAACAAATTCTTATTGAGCACTTCCTGTGTGCCAGGGTCTTGTTCTAAGAACTGGTGAGACAGTGATCAACAAGACAGGTAAACAGGTCTCTGTTCTCATGGAAACTGACAATGTTAGTGAGAAAACGAACAGAAAAACAGGAATAAGGGGAGTAGAATAGGAATGAGAAATAATTTAGAGCAAATTTGGAGCAGATAAGAATGAGAAATAAGTTTGAGTAAATTTGGAAATGAAGCAGATATATTTAGCAGATATATCTACATATGAACCCTGATAGGGCTGGGCAAGAAGCACATTATTTCAAGTAACCCAAATAAATTTGAGCAGATACTGTTGATTTTTTAAAAAGTTAAAATTTTGTATCTCTAAACAAGATTGTCCCACTATCAGTGTTTTTGGAGGTCAAATACTCTATGAGGACTGTTGACCATCAGATTTCCTACATAAACTGCTGTAAGTAATAACATATTGCTTTTTGAACAACCTTTAGTGAAGAATTTTTAATACCTTAAAGCACTTGAATTTCAGCACTTAGGAAATCTACAGAAGGCTGAAAAAACAACTGCTTTTAATCGTCTTGTAAAAATCTGGAGAAAATCTTTTTTGGTGTAACATAAAAGAAGCTATAGTTTACATAGAAAATGCAGCTTGTCCTGCTGATAAAAGTTATGTTCATTTGGTGGAATTTTGAGAAATGTTTATAATATGGATTTTTTTTTAACGAGTAAAATCTCAGAATTATTAATGTATACCACTGCATCCAAGGGGCCAGAGAATGGGGATGGACACCTACAGAAAAAAACAAAGGCTCAAATAATTTTGTGCTTGGTTGGATTGCTAATTATGAAAAACAATTATCTGGGCCTCTAGACCCAGACTGTCTAGGACCAGATTGTCTTGCAAATCCCTCTATTCTAGAACTTAGGCCAATGTCTGGCACATGGGACTCTTGTCATTTGAATAAATGAACAAATGAAAAATGGAGCCTTTACTCCATGTCAGGCTCTGAAGTGTGTGCTTCATGTGTAATCCCATCTGCATCTGTTCCTCAAACTCTAAACTGTAGGAATTATTCCCAATTTACAGATGAAGAAAGACAAGGAGGCCGTCATAGCTGAGAAGACTGGTGCCAAAGCCTAATCTCTTCCCACTACTGATAAGAAGGATTCTGATTTCTCTCAAGTCTTTCCCACTAGCATCCCACCTAATTAATTACCACAGTTAATTAACCCCAGGTATTAAGCATGGAGCTTGAATATTTCTTGTTGGAACTTAATGCATGAGCAAAGCAGGAAAATCATCCCTAAATTCAAACAATTGGATGTAATTCACACATCCTCCTTACTTACAGATCCTTGGGTAAACAAGGGTGGACGTGTTAGTAACAGTCTGACTTACCAGTTTAGGAATTCTTTAGACAAGAATGACTGACTGATTGTCTAGGAAATAATTCTAGATCCAGCTGCCTTAGTAACCACTTCCAAAACCTCAACTTCTGAATAGTTTGTGAATTGTTCAGTTATTTTTCTCTTTGTGTCCCTTCTTTCTCTTGGTGGCACAGTTTTGACTGGTTCACTGCCTTTTCCCCCCTTAAAACAACAACAACTCTCCGCGTCAAGGAATAAACTGGGAGAGCCAAGAGAAGAGAAAACCCGGGGAAGTTGCCAGCAATTTTGGAAAGATAGTTCTTGCCACGCCTCTCACTGGCCCCTCCCTCTTTACATCCTTACCGGGTAAAATAGAAATCTGCTTTTCTCTGGACTCTGTAAAAATTGAAAACTGTCATTTCATATGATACACACTGTCCGCCCGCGCCCACTCCCCGCCGCCGCAGCCGTGCCCCTACTTTTATCCGGACTCACGCGCGCCTTTGGTATTGAGACTGTAGAAAGCCTGCGAGTGTTGTAAACACCTGGCACAGGGCAAGGGGTGGCGCCCTAAGAGTTTATACGACGCAGGGAGCGGCTGAAACCCCAGACTAGAAAGCAGTGGGAAACCTAAATGAGTGCACCCAGTTCCCGGTCTCTTCCTCTGTCCTGCTCTCGCCTTAAGCAGCCACAGCGAGTCAGACGCGAGGGTACTGGGGTTGGAGGCGTTTTCATCACAAAGGAAGAGAGAGGTGGGCAGCCCAGGTTTGTTCAGAGCCCTCCCCCGGGGGGTGGGGCGGGGGGTGGTCCTGGGCGCCTGACCCTGCACCGTGTTTGACCCTCGCCAAGCCAGCGCCGGACGCAAGACTGGACTCCTGTCCGGTCCGCGGGCACGCCCTCTGCCCACTGGGTGAAGTCGACCACGGACTCTGGAAGTGAGTCCGAGTTAGTGGAAGCGTCTTTTTCAGATGAGACTTGAGAGTCTTCCTACAGCACCCTGATTACCCAGTCACGACCCTCAGCTCTCCGTATTTTACATGGATCTCTCTTCCGGACCAGGGTGGGAGCCACGTATGTCTTGTTCGACTCAAGCATCCCCACAGAGTCTGGCATATTGTAGGCACCAATAAATACTTGTTGACCGGCTGACTGGCGGAATGACTGAACGAATAAATGCATGAATGAGCCCGTGAAGAGTCGGCGTATCCCTTTCTGGTCTCCACAAGTACCCGGGACCGCCCGCCCGCTCTCATCGCCACCTGAACGCCAGATCCTCCGGCTCTGGGCAGACACTCACCTTCTCGGCAGGGCTCTCCGGGTGGCAGCCTCACCTGGCCTCCCATGGCCCCCGACGAGGCTTCCCGGGCACAGAAGCTCGATCCTCACCCACCTGTGCTTCTCCTCCGCATGGATCAGCGTTGGGGCGGAGCTGCGGGGTCTCGGACTGGTGCGCGTTGACCCCGGCCCCGGGCAGCCTCAGCCAATGGGGACGGCGGGGTGCGGCCCCCGCGCAAGCCCCGCCCCCGAGGTCCGAAGCTTGGGTGCTCTTTCTCGCCGCGCTGGCTGCGGCTGCGGTCCGGGGTACTGGTGTGGCTGGTGGGAGCGCCGACCGCCACCCGGGACCACTGCGGGAGCCAAGCAGTACAGAAGCACAGACACACTTTACAGGGTAAAGGCGTCTCTCGGAGCGTGGAGGCCACCGAGCCAACTCCTTGGGAATTTAGCAGCGTAAACGTCTGTGCTGAGGCCCCCTTCTGGCTTCTCCGGGTCGGGATGTCTCCTGCCTTTGGATTCTGAGCGCCCTGCTTTGTGTGTTTGCGGCTTTGTAGGGAAGTTGTGGCCACTGGGATTCTACTCTGATTACCATGCTAAAGTTTATTCTCAGGGCTTGACAATAGACCTTGCCGTTTTGTGCTAGTATCAGCTTCTCCTGCGGTCCCTCGGTTTCAAACTCCCGCCTTCCATACACCCCTTTCCTAAGTCATATAGTTATTGCAATAAACCCTAAAGGAAAGGCAATGCTGAAACTGAAACGACTAATTCCTACCAAATAATAATAGCTAATGTTTATGATATTCTTGCTTTACCGTGCATATGTAGGCACTTTATATGTATTAACTCATTATATCTCACAACATAGTCTATTAACCCCTAGTTTACAGATGAAGGATCAGAGGAAAAGAGTGAGATTAAATGATTTAACTAACTATTCAGTGGAAGACTTGGTAGCCGGTTATTATGCAACACGGTATAATTCCTGCTAAAACCCTCACCACAGGAATGGGGTACCTCTGTGCTCTGGGGCTTCAGCACTGAAGGAAATAACTCTTGTCTGCTTATCTTGCCTTTGCTCTAGATAATCATGAGCAGTGCTATTAACTTTGTTACCTAGGAGTTAGTTTCACAGCAGAGGCCTCAATCTTGCTTTTCTTGTTCTTAGGCTGAGTGAAGAGTTAAGATCAGTGAACAAAGCAATACAAGGCACACACTTTCACAGGTGATTGGCTTGGTGGAGAAGGAATAGCATGGGGAGGGGAATAGGTGAAAGTTGGAAGGGAGGGAGATTTATGCCCAATTTGGATAACAAACCTTAAAGCTTAGATTTCTGTTTAAACGTTTGGTTTAGACATCAGACTTGAAAATTTTACCTTTATCAAAGATTGGTGATGATTGTAGACAGTGATCCAAAGTATTTATTTATTACTTATTTATTTAACTGGCACATATATAACATTTATATGGGCAAACATTATTCTAAGCACTTTATAAATATTTGCTTTTAAAATTATCATACTGATAGATATTATCATTAATCCCCACTTTACAGATGAGGAAAGGGAGGCACAGAGGGATTCAGTAACTTGCCTATGGACACATAGCTAGTGAGTGGTGGAGCTGGGATGTTAACTAAGGCTTCAGAGTCTGTGCTCTTAACCCATTTACTAATTGGATATTAAAAAAAAAACTAAAAATGTACCTTTGAGGTTTTTTTTTTAATAAAAATCGAATTCTAGTTTCTTATTAAGGTCTGTCTTAGGTAGGAGGAACTTTTATGTAGTTCTTCTCTTTTAGTTCTGCAAATAAAGAGAAAAACACTCAGAAAAAGTATTTAAGCCTATTTAAGGTCATTGTCCTCCCATTTTAAATGTTGCCCTGAAAACCTTTATAATGTATTTTCTTTCACTGCCTATTCCTAGATGACTTTGGGTGTTCAAATTTTGATGTGTTGTTATTATCATTTAGTTAAAAACATTTTAAAATTTTCCTTGTGATTTTTTTCTTTGGTGCATGGGTTATTTAGGAATATATTACTTGATTTCCAAATATTTGGTGATTTTCCAGATATCCTTCTGTTATTGATTTATAATTTAATTCTGCTTTTCACACAGAATATATTCTGTATAATAACAGTCCTTTGAAATTTATTGTGATTTGGTTCATGGCCCAGCATATGCTCTATCTTGGTGAATGTTCCAAGTGAAATTGAAAAGAATGTGTATTCTGTAGTTGTTGGGTATAATGTTTTATAAATGTCAATTAGGTTAAACTGGTAGCTCAAAATCCAGTTTATTACCAATTTTGAAATTTGTTCTACCAGTTGCTAAGAAAGAAGTATTAAGATCACCTGTAATTTGATTTTGACTATAAATTTCGTGCTGTCAGTTTTTGCTTCATGAATTTTTGCAGCTTTGTCATTAGGTGCATATACAAGTAGGATTATTGTGTCTTCTTAATGAATTTACATTTTTATCATTATTAAACGTCCCTGTTTATTTTTTAGTAATACTTTTTGATTTGAATTTACTTTGATATTAATTTAGCTAAAACCAACTGTTTTATTATTAGAATTTATGTTATACCTTTTTCTGCCCCTTTACTTCTAACTTATCTTTGTAGTTAAAACTTATTTCTTTGAAATGAAATATAGTTACATTTTACTTTTCTAACCAAACTGACAATCTTTGCTTTTAATTAGCCTTTATAGTCTGATTACATATTTTGTAATTATTGATGTGGTTGGATTAAAGACTCAAAAAGTTGTTTTAACATTTCTTATAGTATAGATTTGCTTGCAGTAGTTTCTCTCCATGTTTGTTTGTCTGGGGAAAAAAAAGTCTTTATTTTGTCTTTGTTTTTGAAAGCTCTTTTTCCTTAGTACAGAAGTATAAGTTGATAGTATTTCTTTTCTTACAGCACTTCAAAGATATTGTTCCATTGTATTCTAGCTTACATTGTTTCTATTAGAAGGCTGTGACTATTCATTTGTTTTTTTCCCCACTGTATGTAATGTACCTGTTTTTCCCCTCTGGCTGTTAAAAATATATATTTTTACCACTTATTTTCAATAATTGGGCTTTTATTTGACTTGGTGTGATTTTCTTTGTATTTATTCTGTGTGGGTTCTTTGAGATTCTTGAATATGTAGGTTTATACTTTTCATCAAATTTGGAAAACTGTTGGCCATTAGTTCTTCAAATGTTTGTTTTTACCACCTTCCTTCTAGGACACCAGTTATCTTGAGCCATTTAATATAGTCTCTGATGTTTTATCTCTTGCTTCAGTTTGGTCAGCTTTTATTGCTATGTCTTCAAGTTTACTAAGCCTATCTTCTGTATTCTTTATTCCACTGAATAGACATCTGATGAATTTTTCATTTCAGATAGTCTAATTTTAACTTCTGAAAGTTCCCTTTGTTATTTTTCATGTCTTTCATATTTGTTTATTCATTATGTACATTTTATTTTAAATTCCTGAGCATATTTATGATACATATTAAGGTCCTTGTTTGCTAATTCCATCATCTCTGTCATTTCTAGATCTGCAACTATTGAATGACTTTTCTCCTTCTTATAGATCACATTTTTCTGTTTCTTTCTGTGTCTAGTAATTTCTGACTGAGTGCCAAACATTATAAAGTTACATTGTGAAGTTTTTGGATTTTTCTTGCCTCCCTAAAAGAGAGAAAGGGAGATGAGTTATTTGGAGATTAGCTGGATCCTTTACAAGTTTGTTTGAAGATTTGTTATGGTAGATGAAAATATCCTTTACTCTAGATCTAGTTTAGCACTACTACTGGAGTGTGGCTTTCCTGTGTACTCTATTAATGCTTGGGTGTTCAGTGAGCTCTCTCCACGCTGACAGGTAGAAACTTGATTATATCCACGGTCTGTGTGAACTCTGGACTCTTAACATTTAGTTCCCTGGCAGTTTTTCACTGCCCAGGCTATGGGGTTCCAGCCTAGGCATGTGCAGTATTCCACCAAAGACTTGAAAAGACCCCTCCGCAGACTTTTGGAGCTCTTTCTCTACACAGCTTCCTCCTCTCTAGTACTCTGCTCTGCAAATTCTAGCTACTTTGGTCTCCAAGATAATTTCTGACTCCTCAGCTGAACAAGACTGTAGGGCTCTGCTTGGTTTCTTATGCCACAGTTCATACATTGCCTCTGAGCAGGGTTCAACTCATTTTTTCACCCTTTCTCAAGTATCACACTCCTGTGCTGCCTGTTGCCCAATATTTTGAAGACAATTGTTTCATATATTTTGCTCATTTTGGAGTCAAGCTACTTTTTCGTGAGCAAAAGCTAAGTCCACAGTTCAGGTGATTTGTGGGAGCCTAATGCAATGTTCGAACATGATATTTAAAATTCATGATTTATTTCTGAACCTAAGCATCATTTTGTGAGTTGTATTGACAAACAAACAGTACAAAGTTTCTCCACATAGATATTAATAAAAAATCTATGATGACTTAAGAAGTGTTATCTAGGGCTTCCCTGGTGGCGCAGTGGTTGAGAGTCTGCTTGCCAATGCGGGGGACGCGGGTTTGAGCCCTGGTCTGGGAAGATCCCATGTGCCGCGGAGGGACTGGGCTCGTGAGCCACAACTACTGAGCCTGCGCATCTGGAGCCTGTGCTCGGCAACAAGAGAGGCCGCGATAGTGAGAGGCCCGTGCAACGCGATGAAGAGCGGCCCCCGCTTGCCGCAACTGGAGAAAGCCCTCGCGCAGAAACGAAGACCCAACACAGCCAAAAATAAATAAATAAATATTAAAAAAAAAAAAAAAGTGTTATCTAACTTGGCACTACTGTCAGTAGAGCACAACCCCCTCTCTGTGATAGATTCCTGCCCTGCTCTGAATCCCTCTGAGCCCTTCTGTATTTAATTATGTTGCTTAACTAGAAATTTGATACTCTAACAGTCAATCATTAATTAATTGATAATGAACTCCAGGAACTATCTCTCAGTAAATAATATCTTAATAGTTATCATAGTTGAGGTCCTGATTTGTGCTAGACCTCTGGGAAGAGTTTTATGTAGATTATCTCTAATTACCATAAACTGATAAAAAGGATCCCTACCATTATACCCATGGAAAAAAACAGAGGCCCAAGACCTCAATACTGTTGCTAATTGGCA